AACTATCAAATTAGGCACAAATCCCGAAATCCTCCCAAACCCATCCCCCGGGCCAACGTCTCGGAATCCGACAAAAATCACAAAACTAGAAAGCCCTCTCACTCACGAGTCCAACCATACCAAAGTTATCAAAATCCGATCTCATTTGACCCCCCAATCCCCAAATCAAACTTTCAAATTCCCAAGCCCTAATCCCTTCACTTTCATCCCTAATTTCAACTAATTACATGCTTAAACAACTGAAAATCACCATAATCACGAGTATTAGGCTCAAGTAACTTACCTCAATGAAACCCCCTTGATTCCCTCTTCAAAACTCTTTAAAAGCTTCAAAATCCGAATAGCAATGGTGAAGAATACCCAAAAATTCGCGAAGTGTGCATTATATACCTTCTGCCCAGGCATCTCGCACCTGCGGCCCTTTTCTCATACCTGCGCGACGCTCCTACTGTCCAAACAACCGAACCTGCGGAAGTCACTTATCTTCCCAGATCCTGCACCTGGGGCCACTCCTTGCACATGCGGGCTCGTCGGTGCGACCAAGCTTGCGCACCTTCCTCAGCTCCCAAAACTCCGCATCTGCGACCCCTTTCCACTTCTGCGGACCTCGCACCTGCGGTTGCCACTCCGCAGGTGCGGAAACATTAGAAGCAGCAGCTTCAGCTGCACAATTCCATTTCCAAATCCTCCATTAAACCATCTGAATTCATCTCAAGGCCCTCAAGACCTCAACCAAAAATACCAACAAGTCACATATCAATATTCAAACTTAGTCGAACCTTCGGAACCCTCAAAACAACATCAACACACCAAATCACCCTCGGATTCAAGCGTAAGAATTTCTAAACATCCAATTTTCGTAAACGATGCCGAAACCTACCAAAGAATGATCTGAAATTTTGCACACAAGTCACAAATGACACTAAGAACCTACTCCAACTTTCGAAATCCCATTCCGACCCCGATATCAAATTTTCCACTACCGACCAAAATTGCCAAATTTTCAATTTCGCCAATTCAAGCCTAATTCTACCACGGACCTCCAAATTACATTTCGGACGCGCTCCCAAGTCCAAATCACCTAACGGAGCTCACCGAACCATAAAATCCAAATCCGAGATCGTTTACTAAAAAGTCAAAACTTAGTCAAACCTTTCCAATTTAAAGCTTCAAGCTGAGATCATTCTCCCAAATCAATTCCGGATAACCTGAAAAACCAAAACCGACGATTCACATAAGTCATAATACATCAGACGGAGCTACTCATGCCCTCAAACAACCGAGCAAAGTGCAATTGCTCAAAACGACCGGTTGGGTCATTACACTTCACAACAAAAGAATATGGAAAAAATTCAATAGAGGAATTATTTTGTATACAAAACTTGGCTATTGAAATAAGATTTTTTCTTATGTGAGGTGGATACAGGACATTATTAAGCACAAAGGAATTAAAATTGGAATTTGAGAGAGTGGTGTTTCCTATTTGTGAAATAGGAATACCATTATCGTCTCCGATGATAATCTCGTCTGTGCCAGTGAAATCTGATGCAGACATGAGGTTTTGTGGATCATTTGTCATGTGGTGTGACGCTCCTGAGTCAATCACCCACCGGCCATTTGACATGTTGTTACGAGCAGCGAAATTAGCTTGCATTTCAACAACAGAGTGAGATTTTGAGCGGCAAACTTTAGCTATATGACAAAATTTGTCGCAAAGTTACACTGAACTCGTTGATTGTTGGATTGTCGCAGATTATATCCATTCTGTTGTCTGAGTTGATTGCTAGACTGTCCGTTTGTGGAGAATGACTTGCGATTGATGTTGAAGTTGTTACTACAGGGTCGACTATTTGAGGAGTTTCTCTGATTGAATTGAGCAGTAATAGTGAGTTGTTCATTCTTGGCATCTTCAAGCTTTAGGAAAACTTCATGACCAAGTAGTTTATCATATAGTTCTTCAAAGCTTATAGGTGTGTCTCAAGCTCGGATGGCTGCTGAAATTTCCTTAAATTCAGGCCCTAAACCACTAAGAACTTTAATCGCCAACTCTTCGCTGGTTAAAGGAGATCCAATGGCTGCCAGTTCATCCGCCAAGGATTTTATTTTACCCATAAAATTAGCAATAGATTTGAAATTCCTTCGCAACGCGGATAGTTGTTCACGAAGTCCAAAAATTCGAGCTTGGGATTTGTTAGCACATGTAGTGTGAAGACTTTTCCAAGCAAGTGCAGCTGTGGTGACATTGGCTATCATTGGTACGATTGTGCAATCCACTAAGGCCATGATTGCGTTTCAAAGAAGGCTATCTTGCCTTGTCCAGATTTTGTAGGCTGGGTAGGTCTTTCTTGCACCATCTGTTGAAGTAAGGAACTGTGGAGGACACAGTTTTGTGCCATCTACATAACCCATGAGATCATATCCAATGAGGAGAGTGGAGAGTTGAGCTTTCCATGTCAAGAAATTGTGACTGCCGGTAAGTTTGAGAGGTAGTTGGGATGCAAGATTAATGGTGATTAGTTGATTTGGTTGAGGGGCACTGCCACTAGTAGCAGCAACAACAATAGCATCTGAAGAGGGCATTGTTGCTGGTTTGGTTTGACAAGAAAAGAAAGAAAAAAAGGTTCTCCCAGAATCAGGTACTCGTTGGAGTCTTTGATGCTCTTGATACCATAAAAGAACACAAATAGTTGCTAAAAGTGATACCTCTCCATTGCCTTTATTGCATACATTTGTACAGTGGATTTGTGAATCCAAATCTAAGTAGATAAGTACAACATATATTTATACAAAAGTTAGAATGTCACTATAACTAGGACTCTAATTGATAGCAATTTAAACTAATTGAATCACGTGGATAATGAGAAGTTGTTATGATTGTGAATCCCTTTATCAAAACTGCAGTTAAGTGTTCTTTTAACTATTCAATATTTGGTAGTCATTGGCAGGGGCAAAGCTAGAAGGGTAATTACGGGTTATGTTATAACATTCAAGTTTCTACTATTTAGATCTCGTGTCACGACATATGTTTCCAGTATTCAGATCTCATGTTATAATATTTAGGTCAGTTCAGTACTCAAATACTCATGTCAGTGTAGTACTCAGATATTCATGCCAGCTTAGTCTCAGATATTGATATTAGTTCAGTACTCAAATATTCGTGTCAGTTCAGTATTCATATATCCATGTTAGTTTAGTATTCATGTATCCATGGCAGACTAATATTCACGTATATGTTTCATGTTATGCGCATTATGATGCCCTATGAGGCTTGTGATATGCTATGATAGCTGGCGTGTATTTCGGAGAAATGTTGAAGGTAACTAACCTTTTCATTTAGACCTTATATTATAATCTCCATGTCTTTTACTATTTAGTCAGCTCAATATTCAGTCAATGCAGTAGTCATTCAGTTAATTATCTCATCAGTGTTATAATCATGTATTCATTCAGTTTAGTATGCAAGTGGTCGTGAAAGTTCAATGTTCACATGTTTCCACCAGACCCGTTTATGGTCCAGAGTTAGTTGTAGTTACAGCCAAGACATCCATTTAAGGACGAATGATCCCAAGAGGGAGATAATGTAACACTTCGTAAATTCAGACTAGGTGTGTACGTGTTAAATAAGTATTAATGTGACACCTTAGGCATATAAAGTCCCATCGGGATGAGTATGAGTGGAAATATTTGTTTTGGAATCAAGACGGAGAGTGAGGTTCATAAGATTCGATAGAATCGATTAAGTTTATGGAAGGTCTATCTTCTAGCAGAATTTCATGAAAACCCGTTGAGAATATTGGAAACCATAAAACATAAAAGTTGTAGCCCTTTGAAATACATTTCCAATGATATATTGAGGATCCCGAATGGACCGTTGTGCAAAATGTTATACGCATTCTACTGGACAATGCACAGTCTACGTGCTCATGTGCGCGCCCAACTGCTTATAGCATTACTTCCTTTGTATTCATATCCTTACTTCCTTTGTTCAGTTCACTTATCAGTTATCATTTCAGTTATCGGTTATCATTTCAGTTATAAGTTATTATTTGTCAGTTATCAGTTCAGTTTCAATTCAGCATTTACAGTTCTTTCTTTCAATTGCTTTACATACCAGTGCAATTCAAATGTACTAACGTCCCTTTCGCCCGGGGCCTGCATCTTACAATGCAGGTAATGATCTACAGGTTGATGATTCAGAGCGCTAGGATTGTCGTACCAGCTACTTGGTGAGCCCTAGTTCTTTCGGGCATTATCATTACTTCACAATCTTTTAGTACTTACAGCAGTCAGTGTTTTCAGTACTTCATCAGAGGCTTCACAGACTACACACTAGGGTAACAATTAGATAGTGTCGCAAGCTTCTCATATTAAGTAATATTTGCTACAAATATGTCTCAGAATAATACTAGTGTTTCCACACTGGATTTATATCATTCGACTTTCAGTATATCAACATGTATTAACTAATCTTCCGCATTCAATATATTATGATACCACATGTTGATTCAGTCAGCTAGTTGATTCACTCAGTCGCATGTAATCAGGCACCAGGTGTCGTATTACGTCCAGGCCCAAGTTTCGGGCATGACATTTGTTCTGATTCTGATGTTTGAGTTTCAATATAACAAGACTACGAGTTAACCATAGACCAAAATTTGAGTTATGGAAGTCCAACTTTTAAAAGTAGGTTTTTAGCTATTGTGTTAGTCTTTGATTTATAATTTTTCTTTTTAGAAGTTCCTTGGTTGGCATGAATCAAGAGTTCCAGTAATCTAGGTTTGGGTACGGATCTTTCTTTTTAGGTGTGTATCTCATGTCTAAAGCTTGAACATTAATACTCAAAAAAACCTAGTGAACAATCCGATCACCTTTTTTATAAAGCTCTTCCTGCTTTGGATTTTGAGATATTCAAGACTGGTTTTGCTTGGAGAACTATTTAGAAAGGAGTACAGGTTTCTAATGGATAGAAAATCTGAAATTGCTATACTCTTGCTCCCAAATTTGATACTGAAAAGTTTATAGCTGAAAAGAAAATTCAAGATATTGAATATATGATACAGAAACAAGAGGAAACGGCTAAAACGAAGAAACATGAGAACTTACTAGAGATAGAAGCAAATATGCACATCGGAATACAAACTCCCTGCACATAGTTACACAACAAAAGATTGAAAACTAACTTGCTGCCTTAGAACCTTCGAGGCCTAGCCCGCAACTCCCTTGTAGGACTCCCACTTCAATTTCACCTCCCTAATCCATATCTTAAAGGGAAGATGGTTGCTTATCTCCAGAAGGAATTCAAACCTAGGTAGGTGGGAGGTGGTGACACACAAGGACCAATCCGTAAAGACCATTCTTTTGTCTAATATGCCTAACAGCCGCACAGATCATTCCAGGGGAGGCGTATACACATCATATATTGCAGAAATTTTCTTATTCAGACACTTCTTTTTCCAACCACATTTCTTCCCTTTTTTCCGATTTAAAAAGGGGGGTAGGGGTGCGCATTGGATAATTTTCTATATTCTATTCACTGAACGTCTAAACTGAAATTGGGACATAATACCATTGTGATGACAGATTAAGCATCAATCTTCAGATGAGGAGAACGTTCTTGTATACGCTTCATTCATCTTTATTAGATATTTCATGCCTTTTCCTCTGTCCTACTTCTACTAGTAAAGTTAGAAGAGCTTCACAAACTTGAGATGCATCAGCCTCCATCGGGTCATCGTTTAATGATGAATATACCATCCAAGCGTGGTCTAATTTCCGTTTTGGCCTAACGACCACAGACCCAGGGACTTCTGCGTCACGACAAGTGACAAGCCCGTCACTCTTCTCACCATACCTGATCTGAAGAAGCTGGGCACATGCCGCCATCACAGCACCAAGAGGCATCACCACCGGAAACGTAGCAGGCTGGGCAGTAGAAAAAGTTGGCATTTCTGCGTGCGCCACACGGGATAATGTGGCCAAGACTGCTGGAGAAATGCTGGCCTCCGTTTGGAAGGAAACAACAGGAAGCTCCTTTGGCAAGTGGTATTTGCTCAAGAACTCCTTCCTCCTCTCATAAGTCAAATCTCCCAAAGCTTGCATGTCACCCTTCAAAACGGTTGCGGATATTAGAATACCCTAAGAGTAAACAGAAAGCTCTGAAAGAAAACAATTCCTCATAACACGCATCGGACAAATGGAATATGGCATCTATCGGAGTTTATTTCGCTTTGTTGTGTATGAGTAGCAGAAAAGCAAACAACATGCAAAGAACATCCAAGACAAGGGATAGGCATGTTTCAGGACAACTCGAACTACACCCATTTGCTCGAAATGTAAATTTTGATGTGACAGAATCTGATCATCCAGTCTAGAAAAGGCAATGGTGGAGTAGCATAGTACTATTGTAAACCCGTTTAGGATTCTACTACACCTGATGAGGGACATGTGATATATTATCTAACACACTCACATACGTGTGACCTTGTTCTAAAGTTCACACGGGGACTTGAAAGATCTTTTTATGAAGAAAGAATTTTCTTGGTGGAAGTAAGAGTTGCTTGAAAGGCTAACAAAGAGACCTGGAGTAGAGAGAGACAACTGACCCACTAGACCTGTATAGCAGATACAAAGAGTAATCTCAACGGGATAAAAGTTAACCGAGAGTAACTTAAGAGACTCAGATGTGCTGAATATAGAAAAGAAGCCTAAAGAACTATAATAGATAGAGAGAAGAATCGAAAAAATGAGCTTGCCAAGCTTGTTCGGACACAATGTGAATGGATCTGAGCATCCAACCCAATATATTAAGGCGAACAGAGTAGCACTGGACCATTATAATCTTATAAGTTCCAGATTCAGACCATTAATCGGAATCTTAATATCTTTAGCATGATATTAATCATGATATTCAATTTCTGAAACTTCCATAGGGCATCTCCTGGCTCATGTACAAATTGTTCTCTAAAAACAGGGATGAGAGTCTATCATTTCCACAACCATTACATCCAGTCACTCAATCTAAGCGTGTTGGACCACACAATGTGCTTTTCCCAACTTATTGGAGGTGGTCATACTCTAATTGGCATAATTAAGTCATAAATCCAAAAAAGAGAGAAGGCATGTTTTTCAGTTTATAGATGATCAAAATACTAGCCGTTTCAAGCTTAACCTCCAAGAAATTTACAAGTAGCATTAGATCAGTTTTGAGTCAATGCTTGGAGCAATATATACGGATAAAAAATCACTATTCATAGTCGTAACATAACCATATTCAAGCAGAAACCATCTATAACAACTAGGCCACAGTGTCTTGAAACAATGTGCCCTTTGATTAGGAACCAACAATATGCATGAAGCTACTAATCCATCATATATAATAAGTGAGAGATCCCAGAATATGAACAAATCTTGATGAGAGTTCTTTAGTTTTACAAATTCAGGTAGGTTCCAGGGGCGGCCCTTCCATAAAGCAAGTAAAGCAACCGCTTTAAGCCCCATATTTGTGGGGGCCCTATTTTTTGTTACACCTAATAGACTATGTATAAGTTTAAAAAAGAGTTCTGTAAAGTGAAAAGGTTTGATTTCTTTCTTTAACAAATATAGAGATGAAGGATTTGCAACTGCAACGATTTCTACCAAGGAAATTGCACTTGAAATGAATATCGAATCCGAATTTCGCAAGAAACGTGTGATATATAGGAAGTAACAATTTAATGTGCAATGTTGATAATGAAATCTGAAAATCTTTCGAAGAGTCCTTTAGAGTTGATTGCTTTTATATATAATAGACAAGGCTATTTTTTCACTTCAAAATAGATTTAAACAATTCGAAGCATATGAAAATATTTTTGGTTTTCTATTTAGTTGTAAAGACTAAGATCGCTAGATGTTGGAAATTTGAAAAAATACTGCCTTAATTTTGGATGTTCCTTAAAGCATAATAATCAATTTAATATTGATGATTTACATTTATTTTCTGAATTAAAAGTATTAAGGAAAATAGTACAATTAGAAGATAATAGTTTAATTGATACACTTAATCAAATAAAAAGATTTAATTCTTTTCCAAATATAACAGCCAGCCCGCTAGTGATATTGTCCGCTCTGGGCCTAGGCCCTCACGGGTTTAAAACGCGTCACTAGGGTCAAACGCTTGTTAACTTATATACTCCGCATCTCTTTTGTGTTTTGCCGATGTGAGACTCTGTCTAAAGTCTAGGGTGTTACATACACCCCCTCTTATGGACTCAGTGTCCTCGCTGAGGTTTGCCCCACCGCATGGGATTCGCCTAGACTCAGCACTGAGGTTTTCCCCGCCTAACCGGGATTTGCTTAAACTCAGCTGAACTCTGACCCACCATCGGCATGGCTGACACAAGAGTGGCTCTGATACCATCTATAACAGCCAAGCCCGCTAGTGATATTGTCCGCTCTGGGCCTAGGCCCTCACGGGTTTAAAACGCGTCACTAGGGTCTAAGGCTTGTTAACTTATATACCCGGCATCCCTCTTGTGCTTTACCGATGTATGATTTTGTCTAAAGTCTGGGGTGTTACATAAAAGTAATTACTGTTCGAACCCGAATTCCTTAATGATATTGTCCGTATGGGATTCGGCTAGACTCAGCACTGAGGTTTGCCCCGCCTAACCGGGATTTGCCTAAACTCAGTTAAACTCTGACCCACCATCGGCATGGCTGACACTAGAGTGACTCTGATACCAAGTTTGTCACGACCCATTTTCTGATGCTGGGTATATAAGTTAACAAGCCTTAGACCCTAGTGACGCGTTTTAAACCCGTGAGGGCCTAAGCTCAAAGCGGACAATATCACTAGTGGGTTGGGCTGTTACAGATGGTATCAGAGGCACTCTTGTGTCAGCCATGCCGATGGTGGGTCAGAGTTCAACTGAGTTTAGACAAATCCCGGTTAGGCGGGACAAACTTCAGTGCTGAGTCTAGGCGAATCCCGACGCTGAGTCCATAAGAGGGGGTGTATGTAACACCCCAGACTTTAGACAAAGTCCCACATCGGTAAAACACAAGAGGGATGCTGGGTATATAAGTTAACAAGTCTTAGACCCTAGTGACGCATTTTAAACCTATGAGGGCCTAGGCCCAGAGCGGACAGTATCACTAGCAGGCTAGGCTGTTACACAAAATGCCTAAATTGCTTATGGAATAATGTTAATAACTCATGTTACCGTTACTTCAGCGGAAATAAGTTTCCAAAATTAAAATTGATAAAATCCTACTTAAGAACAACAATGTCACAAGAAAGGTTAAATGGATTAGTTATATTGTCAATTAAGAAATACTTATTAGGAGTTATTGTTTGTAAGAATTATTTATAACTTTGTATCTAAAAAAAGCTAAAAAAAAAAGATTTCAAATAAATAATAATAAAAAAATTAAAAAGTTAAGGCCCCTCGTAAAGTTTGGCTTTAGGCCACAAAATTGGTTGGGCTGCCCCTGGTTGATACAATTTGAAACTGTAAAATAATACTTCAAATATATCTCCTCTTTTACACCTCCCTCGCCAGGATTAGTAAGGTAAAGTCCACACAAGAACCTTGCTCTGGCTGGTATTATCTTTTCAGAAAGGAAAAGAAAACAAGAGTACACTAATACATTCTCACCAAAATACCCTAACAGTACTCTACATAATTTCTCTCCCAGTACAGGTTTAAACAGCACTTTCCTGAAAGGAACTAAGATAATGAATATATTGAAATGCCTTCCAACTCCTCGTCTATGAAAACAGATTTTTCCATACCTTCTCTCTCTCTAATCCACTCCTAATAACAGGAAGGGTAAAGAAAAACTGCAAGGCTATGGACGAGTCTCTAGGACACCATAAGTGACTTAGGGGTCGTTTGGTAGGGTGCATAAGAATAATGTAGCATATGGTGTATTAGTAATGCTAGTATTAGTTATGATGACATTAGTTATGCTGACATATTTCTAATCCATTGTTTGGTTTGACGATTTAAAGCATTGCACAATTCTAAAAGAATTGTTTGTTTACAAAAATACCCTTATAACCAGTCCAATGTAGAGTACAAATTTATAAATTTATAATGAAAAAATTGGCGGAGTGTAGATATAAATAGCGGGAGCAATTTCAGTGTCTAACTTTACATCAAACTTGCATTAATATAATATCATATTTTAATCAAGCATAAATTTTGAAGGGCAATTTTGTCTCTAAGGGCTCCTCTGGTATGAGGGATAAGGAATAATTAATCCCGGGACCAATTTAAGAAGAGTTTATCCCATATTTTGTTGGTAGAAAACTGCGATATAATTAATCCAAAGATTAGTTATCTCGGGATTGTAGTATTTTTTATCCCCATGGAAAGATGGAATAACTAATCCCGGGATAACTTTTTTCCAACCAAAAGACCCCTAAGTTAATGCATGCATCAAAACCCATTGTATTGTTAATACCATGATTTCCTATGTATTAGTTATGCATAGGATAATACCAAATAGGGTGTATAACTAATGCATATGTTCAAAAAATGTACCAAACAAGATATTATTAATACCCAAAGCTAATGCATGCATTATTTTATCTAATACATCCTACCAAACGACTCCTTAGTGATTTATCGCCTTTCCTAGTTTGATGACCTAACTTCAGTAGATGTCTTTAATAAATAACTACGCACCCACTAATACCTCTACTAAAGGGAAACTTTTCAACTCCAAGTTTGAACTTTTCTTGACCACAATCTTTACCTTTATCGCCTGGAACAAAGCCATACGCAATCCTTGTCAGAAATACGTATCATGGGATCTTGTATTACTCTTATCTCTTATTTGTACAGTTGACCCACAACGTGAAACAGCGAATTTCCCCAGAGCTATTGATGATTTTAAGCATGACAGAAATTTCAATTGCTTGTACTCCATTGGAACAGAAAACAAGACAATCCCATCCCACACTAGAAAAACAATGCACATCAATAACAAATAAGCAATTACTGGTGGATATACCTTGATTACTTTACAGATGAGAATCTCCATAATCTTGCGGATGTTTACATAATCACCAAGCTGTCCTTCTCGCAGAATGTCTGAAGCAATTGGACTTCCACCATAGGGACTCTGCGCTAAAACCAGCCCTGCAACCTTATCTTTCAAATCAGACCAATACATGGACAGAGCAGCTGCTGCATCTACTCCCCCTTTACTGTGTCCAAGAAGCAAGACACGTTTATTGGAGCCCCAATAAACTTCTTCAATGTAATCTTTTATTTCTCTAGCATTCTTTTCCACAGAGGCCTGCATATTTCATGTTCGATGGTATGAGATAAAACAATAAACTGCACACATGGTTTACAAACAAGAGAGATACCTCACTATGAATTTTGGCTATATGACAAGTGAGTCCCATTTTTGAAAAGCTTGTTTTTGTATTAACAAAGTAAAGTGGTCCATGATTGCTAAAGAGACCTGCACAGAGAAGAGACGACTAGCAATTATCAGGAAATATGCTACTAAAGATGATTAGCTTGCAAATAAATTCAAGACTTCTTGAATGATAAGATCATTTTTACAGCATCCCCTAATAACTAATAATTAAAAAGATCACGAATATAGCATGGTCCAACAGTGGTCAAAGACACGTGCAGGGAATTGAGGGAAAATAATCCACTTAATTGTACTGATGGGAGAGACTTTTGACACAACTAATGTGCTTTCCATAAATTCTATGAGGCTGATCTAGTTTGTCCAACAGTGGTCAAAGACACGTGCAGGGAAATGAGGGAAAATAATATACATAATTGTACTGATGAGAGAGACTTTTGGCACAACTAAAGTGCTTTCCATAAATTCTATGAGGCTGATCTAGTTTCAAATATTAACCATTTTGGTTGTTTACTATTGCTACTGATAGGAGGAAGGGTGCTTTTACCTGGTACTAACAAGTAAACCATTGAATTTGGTAATTTATGTAGTCCATGCCTGACAAAAAAGATCCAAACAAGGTCAAATTGTATTCGAGCAGACAGTCGCAGTCAATTTGTACATATGGTGTTTGTACCTAATATCATCAAGGATTTCCACAAATCTATCAGTTTGATCTTCGACAGGAGGCATATGTGAAGCACGTTGTAGCCATCCAATATCATCAGCTGACCCACGAACTGTCCTTCTCACCTTCTCTATAAGGCTAAAAATAAAATGCAAAAGCCATGAGGAAAGGTACTTTAATAAAAGCACGAGTTATACCCAACCGGTAGTACCACAAACATCAATTGTTTTTACAAAATCAGTAGAAAAAGAAATAGAGTGAGTTTTACGAAAAACCAGCAATTTCTATGTAGTTTCAGTTATGCATGTGCAGATGATTATACATACATGATTATGTCTAACAGGCATATGATCTGGCATTTAACATGCCAAACTTGTATCCATTCAGATAATCATACCCTTGGAAAATAGAAATGCCATTTGGGCTGGCCTGCGTTGATTGAACCTGTGCACAGGAACTGTCAGATAGATCCTCTGAGTTCCTTGTTGCACTACCACTTTGAGAAGATTCTCTAGATAAGGTTCTACTTAATCCTTCATGGAGAAGCGGAGCATCAACAGATGGTTGAGATGAGTTACAAACAGCTAAATGACTTCCACTTGAAGAAACGCCACTGAAGGTGGGGGGGGATCCTCTACTTTCTGCAGAACCAAATGTAACCATCTCTTGGCCTCCTAAGCCTCTGGAGGCAGGTTCTGCTACAGCTGGAAGTAGAAAACACATCATACAAGCACTAAATTGCAAATCCATAACCAGAGTTCATATCATTCTAGGAGAAAAGAAATTTGCTGGCGCCAGAATTCAGGAGTTAAATATCATGTCATTGACATCTATGACCAAATTGCATCTCAAAGAGAAGGGGAAAAGAAAAAACAGAAAGAAACGTTTAAAATCTCAATTCCCAATTTCCAGAGCCTCAAAACCTAAAATTCAGTGGCACTAAGATACATGGCTTCAATTTAAAACAAATATAATCCAAGTATCCAAACAAAAGAATAGGATAGTTATTGTATCCCTCACCTAAAGGATTATAACTAGCTTTTTGATCATGGTAGACAATAGACATCTTACATTAAGGAAATCAACATCTTCCATTAGCTTTTGCCACATAATTTATCATCGGAAGTCTAACCTGGAAGATATTACTTGGGTACAATTGGCAAGAAATTCTGAAGGAAATATTTTTAATACTCTAAAACAATAAAATAGAAGACTTTAAAAGGTAGAAATTCGACTATTCATGGAGCATATAAAATCTTAATGCATCAAAAATCACGTAGGGACCAATCTCAGCCAATCATCATTAACCAACAAACTGGGGGAATAAAAAATTTACTAAGGGGGAAGAGAAGGAACACATGAAAAAGTTCATGAAGCTCACCAGAAAAATCCATGAAACAGCGAGTAAATAATGATGTCGTGTCAGCAAGATAGGAAGCAGCATCATTGAGAGCCGGGACAGAAGTAAGTAGCTGAGGGATACCCCTATTGCTTCTCAAAGAACTGTCATTCGCCTAGCCGAAAAAGGAGACAACATTAGGCAAATGATAAAAGAGAAGAAATGTTTTCAGAGGTTAGGGACCAAATGATTCAGAACAGTAGGTAGAGGATTATCAATAGACATGTACACTTTAAAAGATGAAAAACAAGGGATATCTGATAGAAGTTGATAATTTTAGCCCTTAGTTCTTGGACAAAAAGTTGATATCTGACCAGAGACCAAATCTGCACAAAATGGTAGTGACCTTTCCATGTAAACAGAGACATGAACTTCCTGGAGCAACATGACGGAAAAAGCAGAAATGCCAAATGCAGTTATGGATGATAATGGGCCGACCTTTTACACTATATAGGCCGCCTGGAACCACCTGAGTCTTGATGTGAGTAGATATGTGGATTCGGTACTGGAGAGGAGATGTGGGCAATATAGGTATTCTTAACCACTCAGTCCTGCACCACTGTTTTTTTCTTTCTGGTTATAAATATTGTCTGACGTAATTTCATGTCAACACAAAGGTTTGGATATACAGGACTGGCCATCAGTCACACTGCATGATGATAGTTGAAGATTGCAATTCACATACCTAGTATCAGGAACGATTTTCGTCACAGCCCGCAACCCCTAAGCAGTCAGCTAGTGGATCTGCATAAATTACTGGAGAGTGGAGGCTAATCCAAACCAGGGCGAAAAATAGAGAGTATGAGTGCAACAACAAGATGTCAGTAGGTTAACAACCATTTAGGATAAACACAATGTAATCTCCTCTTTTTTGGATAAGTAACTACACAATATATTTACTTAATATATTGGATCCTTCACCTTCAGTTCACATATTCACAACTTCTTTTCTAGGCACTTAATTCCAAGTACTTCAGTCACTATAATTTTCCCAACAGGTACATTTGGTTCAGCCTTAACTCACGACTTCCATGTACTTTACTTCAATTCCATTCAGCCCTTACACTAACCTAGGAAGTGTCATTCAGTTTCCTCTAACTCCCGGTTACCATCTCTCATCAAGCATGAAATACAAAACGCAATGCCTGAAAGCCATTCCTCACCGCCAACAATCTTCTAATGCTTTCCCGATAGAAGCAAGTTAACACAAGCTTATATTAATATTGAGGCAGAAACGACAGGAATGTCCTTTCACAAGGCAAAGGTTTTTCCACGTAACAGATCTAAATCAAAAGTTCAAGAATGAGACATTTCATTCGACAAAATACTTCCCACTTTCTACTTTCTCCCACCTCAGTCTTAAGTTTCCATCAATTGAAGCCTCAAATTCGTACCTAACTATTTTCACAGTGCTCAGCTGCTCTGTCAAATTCCAGCACTGCATGTGATTTTAAGCCAGATTTGTGAAAACAGAAGGAGGTCAAGAGTGAGGGTCTAGCTAAGTGCTACCGAACAAAGAGAAGTGCTCCGAGTCTCAGATGCTTGGTTCTGTGGGCTATGGCTGCCTGAGAACTAGCCTTCCCACTTAATTGTCTTATATAGCCACTACTAAAGGAAGAACGTAAAGATTTATAAAGTGGACAATCCACTAAATTATGATTCAATAATTTGATAAGATCAACGGGGAATCCTGTCCATGCTTAATGCAGATAGTTTAACATGTCACCATGTCAAAAAATGAAAAAACTCGGACTTAAGATAACTCGAAGAAGAATCACGAAAATTTAGTAACTCTGTCCATGAACCAGTCCTTGTAGGTGACAGCTCCAATGATCCTGGTACTACAAATATAGAGGACTTTCAAGCGGATGGGCTAGTAACCAAACGATCACATTAGTTGACAATGCAGCCGACCCCAACTAATGCACTCTTCAACTAATAGAGAGAAGAGGAAAGGAATGCCACAAGTAATATGTTATTTGAAGTTGAAAGATGTCAAATCAACACATTACAATTCACTGCCACACAAAAAAAACAAACTCTAAATTTCAACTGAAAAGCAATCTGAATTACAGTGACCTAAATATAATGTTAAAAGCAGAAACTACTTGAATGTACAAAGAAAGCTATAACAACTATTAGTATTCATGGATAAGTCTTCTTAAACTATTAGTTTTCAGTGGGAAAAACTCTCTCGTTTGAAAACAAAACAAGCCAAATTTTGAAAAAAGACTTATCATATGGGACAAGCCTGGGATGCTAGACTAAAAATGAAATGGGAGAAGTTTCAGATATTGTGAAATACGTGCTGGATGCTTAGGGAAACTGATCAACGCATATTCTATGCCTTTATGGATGGAACAATTCGAATGGTATAGATTTTGTCTCTAGACTTCACAACTCTAGTAAATAATTCGTGGCGAATCGAATGACATTGAAAATATCTAAAGCTTCTATCCCTACCCAGAGGCAAAATTATAGCACTGTTTTATGTAAGCAAAATCATGGAAAATTCATAAAGATCTTCCTAGCACTAAAGTTTGCTTCGATCAAACTAGACGAGTAATTCAAAATGTACATCCTTGGAGATTTAAATTTCCCAATTTGTTTTCAGCATAAATGAAACTGGTTCCCACCATTCAAGATGGATTTTCTATTGTTTTTATTTAATTTCATAAATTAGTAATCATAGGCAGAGGAACCTTACCACAAAGGGCTCGCTCGACTCCTGAGTTGTGTTGTCACGTCTGTCCATATCATAAACCCACTGCTAATAAAGCAAACAAATAAAATAAAAGTTATCCACAAAATTTAAGTAAAAAACATGAAAACACATCTTCAATCAACAAACTTTTAAATTCAGATTAGAAATTCGAAATACATCAAACAATCCTAAAAAACTGAAATTCAGAGTATATTAACAAAAATCATGTACCTTTAATCTGCAAAAGAGATTGAATTATGCTTAGGTAATTTTAAGATTTTGGAAAAAAATTAATTGTTTTTGCCAACAAAATAAAAATTATAAAGATGAGGTTCGAGAATGATGGAATTGCTTAATTGCAAAGCAATGCCAAAGTTAACGGACTCTTCATGGAGAAGAGGAAGACGACTAGAAATCAAAAGAACGATGTCGTACTGAAACTTACGTGCGAAGGATTACCAATTAAATGTGAAAGAAAATGACGGTTGTCGTGAAAAAAATGACCGTTGACGGTTAGGATTAGCGGAATAGAGATTGGGCACCGCCCTACGTATTTGGGCTGGGCCCCATAGCAGCTGTTTTTGGACTAGTCTCGAAAATCAATGAGAAATTTTCATAAATCTTTTAGCGGTAATTAGCTATCTATAGATACCATTTGCTATATTACGGATTGTAGATACGCTTTCTGTTGTTATAAGATGTATTAGATGTATTTAAGCTACTGTATTCATGAATACAGTAGCAAAAATAGGCGTGAATCAGGGAAGTCCAGCTAATGAGTTGTTGTATTCGAGTGTATTCGACTGTATTCATGGCGTGAAACATGGGATTACAGCTGGATAGATTATTGTATTCGACTGTATTCACGGCGTGAAACATGGGATTACACTGTTTTTAAACGGAAAGTGAATCAATTAACATAATAGACTCCTAATATAACTCAACAGACTCAATTATAACACACAAATTTTGTATTTCCAGTTATAAAAAAGATTCTCAACTGAAAAATACCCCAAAAATATAGCAATCTTCAGAGAAATTATATAATACATCTGAATACATAAATTATATTAATTAAAAACAACATATGAATACATTCATGGCATATAGCGAGACAGTGAATACAATGAAATACATATAATACAGCGGGATACATTGAAATACAATGGGAAAAAAACAGTGAATACAATGAAATACATGGAATACAGCGAGATACATTGAATTACAACGAAAAAAAGACGATGAATACAATGAAATACATGAAAATACAACGTGATACGTTGAAAATACATTGAAATATTAACATAAAATCAAATTGCTCAGCCCCAAACTCCGTCGTCTTTGTTCAAGAACAAACCCTAATTTCCGGCGAATCCGCCGTCGAGCAAAAACCCTGAATCTCATTGTTCCCACGCATCAAAATTACAAATGGGGTCAGGAACGCCGTCGGCCATTCCATGGGCGATATGAAACCCCAAATCTCAAACTCTAACACTAACGCCGGCTCTAGGAAATCAAAGGAAACCGAGCGCAGCGGAAGCAGAAGAGAGACAATAAAGTATCGTCTCATGGAGAAGATAGTGACGCTGCTAATGGCGGTGCTAATTATAAGGAGAAGTCCGATTTTCAAAAGTCTTTGGAGCAATTTGAAGTGGAATATATCCCAGAGAAGGCAGAGTTAGATGGCGAGTTGGATGACGAATTCAGGAACGTCTTTGAGAAATTCTTTTTCATCGATTCTAGTGAAGAAAATAGTGTAACTGAATAGCGTATTTAGTGGCTTAGGGGTAGGAGGTAACCAAAATTAGATATTTTGCTATAAACATTAAAAGGTATCGATAAAATATAATTTTTTTAAATGGTATTTATTTAAAATAAATAAGGTGTTAACCTTTGCTATAGGAGCTAAAAATTCCAAAATGAATCTATTCCTCAAAATGGATCTTGATCCAAAAAAACATTTTTGAGTTTTGTTTTTTGGCCAAATTATTTTTTTTTCTTATTGAATACCACTTCCAAAAGAATAAAAGATGTATATGTCCATTACTCGGTTTTGTTTTTATATGTTGATGGCTAGTAGTATATAACACATATATTAAATGTCAAATGGTATCCTAGGATAGAAACCGGTGAGTAACATGTGAGAGCTAGTAAAATTATGCTGAATGCATAAACAAGCATGTTCAGACCATTAGTGGATAAATTTAAATCATTTCTCCATTAATGTTCTTTCATTTGTCATATGACATTCTTCCATAGTTCCAATAACTTTAACTAAAATTGCATGAGTAGTGAACTCATGTCTTTCTTATTTTAACTTCATATTTGAAGGGGGGGGGGGAGTGAAATATCTTTGTTCTGCCTAAAGACAGTACAAAGAAAATGAACAACCTAATATCTTAAACCAAAGGTAAAGAGTCTCATAACATGACATTTAGAGACTCCTAAGGAGAATGCCTTCAAAAGTGATTCCAGGGCCAAATGCTAAAGCAAGTCCCCATTCTTCACCACCATTTTTCTTATTCTTCAACTCTTCCCTCATATACTCCATCACATAGAATATAGTATTGCTACTCACATTCCCATAATCCATCAATGCCCTTCTGCTACAATCCAGTTTCTCACTTTGTAACTTCAGTGTGCTCTCCAATCTGTTAAGTATAGCCGGTCCGCCTGGATGAACAGCCCAGAACAAGTCATTGTACTTAGCTTCCTCCAAATCAGCCTTAGCTATAATTTTCTTGCAAAATTCCTCGATGTTGTCTTGAATTTTCTCAGGCAGGTCCCTTCCTAATTTGAAGTTTATCCCTTCTTCAGTAAGTCGTCCATCGATCACATTATTTGTCCCTGGCAAGAATTGCTGAGTTGCAAAATTCAGTTCCATGAAAGGAGATTCTTTTCCTACAATTGGTTCAGTTCCAATTATAACAGCAGCAGCTCCATCTCCGAAAAGTGCAGCACCAACAAGATCATATGGTCTAGCATTATTTGGTGGCCTAAAACCAAGAATTGTGGTTTCAGAAGTTGTCAATAGAACTCTGCTCCCTGGATTATTTTCAGCTATATCTTTGGCAACTCTAAGGCCTGTGACACCACCATAGCAGCCCAAAAAATACAGCATTACGCGTCCAATGTCATTCCTCAATCCAAGCTCAGTTGCAAGGTAAAGATCACCTCCTGGTAAACGTATTTCGCTTGAGGAAACATACACAATGTGTGTGATTTCCTCTGCTGATCTTCCCCATTCCTTAATGCAAGCTTGGCTTGCTTGTTTTGCCATTTCCGCAACTGCTGGATTTGCAATTTCTAGTCTTTGTTTGATTGTTGGTGTGCCTTCAGTTGCTAGTTCTGGATACTTGTCCAAAATTTCTTTTGACATCACTGTATATCTGGTCTTCACAGTAGTAGTTTTGCCTACATACAAATAATAAAAACATGGAAAAGTTACTAGAAATGTTTAAAAAAGTTTAACTTATATACACTAACAGCCAAAAGAGTTTTTCACACTATCATATCATCAAAAAATAACTACAGGTAATCGTCCAACAAAAGTTGGACTTGTAACGTGGAAAATTAGACTTTTTATCTACTACAACATGTTAAACTACGCTGATAGTGTAAAAAAATCTATATATTGTCGATGTATACAAGTTAAATTCATGAAAAAGGCAAAGGATTGTAAGCATGAAACATAAATGGAAGTAATTTTTGCTTACAAAGGCGCTCCAACTTCTCCTTAATAGCCAAATCTTGACAGTTGGTATCGCGAATGTAGCCTTCAACCAAGCAATCCTGAGGGACAAGTTGTGCAGGGAAAGCTTTGCCCATGGCAAGAATGGTGGCTTTTCCTGGAGTAGGAAGGCGCGTCGATGGCTGAAAAAAGTACTTGGATGCACCATTAATGTTCTTGCCGTTCTGTGACATATTGGCTAAATGTGGAAGCTAAGAGTATGAGACTTAAGATTGCTGTTCTCTGATGAAATCTTAGTATGAGATTGTTTCAAACATGTTATTGCATCAAATATAAATGGAGAGCTAAATCTGTAGTTGGAGAAAGGTTGGTATAATTGTGTTAGAGAACTTCTGGCATGACAAATTATAAAACTAGTGCATGCTTTAACAGTGTTGCAGATTTTAATATATTATGATTGAGTTCTTGTGGCTTGTTTGTGTGAAAGTATAAATAAAATGAAAGCAATCTTTTCATTTTTCTCACTTCCTTTTGTTTTTTCTTTCTTTTTACTGATATTATTTTTTAGTTTTTTTTTGTGCGCAGTGGAGGGGGCAAAAGGGGTAATGCACCAACTAGCTGCACCACTAGTCATTGTTCAAATGTTAATTCTATGAATGTGTTGTGTTTCTCTTCTTATTTTTCATTGCTAAAATGTTGTTGTTCTCCTGATATATCAACTTGAAAATGCATATTACAGATATAATATTTGCACTACGAATACACGATATACTGTTAAGATGATATTATTCAAAAAATTACTACTGTATAATAATACTTTTAAGTTTTAACAGTAAGTAGTCCCAATATTCAGAAAATCGCTTGAAACTGTATTGGTCTAAATTTGGCGACTTGATGAAAGAAAATAAACAGGATCGAGGCCGGAGTCGACCACGGCATAATAGCGGGGAGTCGTCCTCAGAAGGATTATCGCCGAGGACGAGCAACCGGAGTAAAGAAATAATGGTAGGATATGTTTAGAAATGGACACAAGGAATATTCCTTTGGATATTCCTTATTTTGTACTTTTTAGGGTTTCTTGAGAATATCCCTTATAAGAGATAGAAAACAAAGAGGGGATCTTCTGAGAAGAGTACATTGTAAAAGGTTGACTAAAGAGAATATACAAAATTTGTCTTGTTCACTAATTATCTTATTCAAGCACATGTTGTTTAATCTTTGTTCACAAGATCCGAAGATTCCTTATCCATCTTTGCTTCTCATCTTTCCACGTTGCTGTCAGGTGGAAGAATCGTCCAAATCATATAATAATTGAGTGATAGATTCTTTCTTATTACATTTATTGCCATTATCTACATTTATTGCATGTTCATGTTATAACATTTATTGGTAATCATTGAGTATACATCTGATATTTAATACTCTCAAACATTGTTCATCTTGCCAACATCCTCCAATATTTGATCTAGAATTTATTATATTTAACTAAGTTCACCATTTATTTCATCATTAGTTAGTTTAACAAAAAGCTTAACACTTTTTGGTCAAACAATTTGGCGCCGTCTGTGGGTAGGTTTTAGTTAAAATTTTAGTTTCTTCTAGATCATAAAAAAGGGCAGCCATCTCTTACTTGTTTGCACGAACTAATAATGACAGGAAAAGAAGATGAAAGACAGAAAGCAATATTGGGTGTCACTACCTACATCTTAAACACCATCAACGAGGATGACAGAGAAGACGATGAGAATGTGACGCCGAGTGCTACACCTAGGCGGAGTGATTCACCTCCCCCTCATGGAAGTG